GCTGAGGGAGGCGGAGGTGGCTCCGGCCTGGGACGGCTTTCCCTGCTCTTCCCGGGTTCTCTCGGTCTCGTTTTCTGTATAAAACAGGGACTCTCTCCGCTTCTAGCTGCGCTCTGCAAGCGGGCAGCCCCGCTCGGGCCGATGCCCAATGAGGATATTGATGTCAGCAACTTGGAAGCACTGGAAAAATACCGCAGTTTCACTCGCTACTTCAAGCTGGCGGAAAAGGAGAGCAGGAAGCCCCGGTGGTGGAAGACGTACCGACAGCACACCACCCCCCAGCCAGGTACTCGCGAGAGGATCTGTGCCATGCAGTGAGGGAAGCTGTTGCTGGGGTCATGTGTTTGCCCCAAAACCCACCCTGTAAAGATAAGGTGCTTTGGCACAAGGTTCACCCTTTTCCAATGTAGAAGCTTGCTGAGCGCTAATGTCTTCAGGGAATTAGATGGGAGTTTTCTGGAAGGAGGGAGGCAGGCCAGGACCTGCCAAAAGATGTGGAGCAGCATGAAGAAGTGATTCCTTGGAAGCCCAGCAGTATCAGAGAAAGCCGACCAGGACCCAGAGCTTTAGACCTGCAGCAAATAATACAGCTTGGCTGTAGAACAGCCACAGAGACCAGACCTGCTCAGCAGCTGGCAAACTGCTGGGTCTGGGGATGTGATGAGCTGGGGGAAGAGGAAGGACCAGAAGCGTGGAGGGGCAAGGGGAAGGCAGAGGAGGTAGAATCACATCTCTGATGTCTTGAGGTTTGCATCTCTTGCATGTGCTCTACCACTTTTGCTGGCTTTTTGGGTTTGGGTATTTTGGGTATTCACATTTTCCACATACGTTATTTTTTTCACCTCTCTTTGAAGAGCCCAAGACTGACATCAGCCTGCCACGTGATAAGCTGCTGCGGGCAAAGGAAATCAAGGAAAGAAAAAAGATCCTGAGGGAGAACCACCAGAATGCTGAGATGGAAAGAGCAGCACGGCTCCGGACTGGTGTGTGCTCCTCCCTGCCCCAGCCACTCTGGGTCCCCAGCTGCCTCCTGCACTGTTTCTTTCTCCTTGCAGTGTTGATCCCTCTCGATGAAGTCAGAGCTGAGTGGGAGAAGACCAGTGGCCCGTTCCACAAGCAGCGTGTGGCAGAGCACTGTGGGTTATTTCGTGACTTGTTCAAGGGGGCCACATTCACCCCCTGGGTTACCTTGAGGGTGGAGTACAGCCAAGACAGCGAGGACCTTGTGCCAGTTTACTATGGGAACATCGTTACTCCGTCAGAGGTGTGTGAGGGGAGCTGGGAGCAACCCCACCCCCTTGGGAAGCCTGTGTGTTTTGGTCAGATGCTTCTAATGGGCAATGTCTGTTCTAGAGGTTCTCTTTTACAAGAATATTTCCTCTGTGATGAAGGAAATGTGTTTCTTGGATGTGATAAGGATGGAGCTTTGCAACAGGATTGTTGCCTGTTCACAGGCTGATGTTTATTAGAGCTCTGGGAGGCTCTCCAGGTAGAGCTGGATTACTTGGTGTGGGTGGGCCCAGTCTTTGCTGTGTCCTGGCTGTGCCAGGAAATCATGACCTGGTCTTAATGGAGCCTGTTGTTTGAGTGATTTACATTCTCTTTGTGTTGCTCATTTAGGCGTCCAGTCCCCCTGCAGTGTCCTATGAGGCAGATAAAGGATCCCTCTGGACTTTGTTGCTCACAAATCCAGGTGAGTAGTGAGTTCTTTTAAAAAAAGTGTTTAAACTGAGTTGTTTCACCCTGCTTGTGTTTAACTCGTGTTTCTTTTGGCTGCACAACCAGAGATGATGTGATATTTGTTAAGTAGGGACATACTACATGTGCAGGAAAGATTGTGGCCTCCCCAAACCTCTAGCAGTTGAGAGGTGGGACAGTGACACAACAGGACCTACGTCGCAGCGTAGTGGAAGCAATTCCCTGGCTCCCATCTTTTGTTTACCCCTAGACTCCTCTCTGGCTCAGCATTTTGCCTGAGAGGTACGTTAGCTGATACTGACACCTTGAGAAACCAAGGCACAGTAAAGTGAAGCAGCAAACCAAGACATCCTTTTAATCTTGGAATTATATCTGCATAGTTCTTCACTCATTTTAAGCTCAATCCTGTAAGAATGAGTTACTTTTCCGCTAGGAAGGGGATGCTGGGAGGTCTTGAGTTGCTCATTCCCTTCAAAGGGGTTCTGAGCGTTCTCACTTTGGGGTTGATGCAAGCACCTTATTGTCGCTAAGTCACCTTTTTCTGTTGTGTGCATTTGCAGATGGACATTTAAGAGACACGGACTCCGAGTACCTCCACTGGCTGGTGTGAGTAGCGCATGTCAGAGCTGCGTGCTGCTTAGCTCAGAGAAAGCCCGGCTGGAGAGGGCAGAAACTACTCCCAGCAGAGCTCAGGAATAAGTATTTGCTAAGACATTTCAGTGCTTTCTCTGGTGCTCCTGCTATTAGCTTCTTTACCCTTGTGTTCTTGGTCCTGCTAAAGATTCAGTAGTTCCGGGTGTTGCTGCTCTTTTGCATTCACATCACTGGGTGTGATTTTTCTTCCAGCGGAAAAAACTATTACTTGTCGATGAAGGTATAAGTCACATCAAAATGTAGCACTGGGTGACTTACAAATCTGGATGCAAATGGAGGGAAGTGTGTAGATAAATAATGGAGTAAACTTCTTTATGTTCAGGACGAACATCCCAGGCAGCAACATCAGGTCGGGTAAGGAGATCTGCCATTACTTGCCCCCCTTCCCTGCCAAGGGGACTGGCTACCATCGCTTCATCTTCCTCCTCTTCAAGCAAGACTGCCCCATAGATTTCAGCGAGGATGTTCGGCCGATGCCATGGTAATTCAAGCTCATTCTGGGCAGTTTCACACTCTCTTGGCTAGGCTGTTATTGCTTGTTATGATGACATGCTTGTTCCTACTGTAGGGGAGCAGTTCCTTTTTAATCTCTGGGATTGTTCAGAGCTGCTTTGAGTCTGTGTGTCCCTCAAAGCCACAATCCCAGCCCTGCAAACGCTGCGGAGTCCTGTTGCTTTAGACCAGACTGTTAAGAAAGTGTTTTTTCCAGCCTGTGGTAGGCATATGCACAGAGCTGGAGAAGCTGGGAGATTTTATTTTAGTGACTTCCTTTTTTACCTCTATTTCATAGACTCTGGGATGATGTGGGCAAGTAGTTGCCTACCAGAGTGCTGCAGGATAAGATGTTCACCTCGTGTCTTGTGCTTGTGTCTTGTTTCCAGCTACAGCCTCAAGATGCGAACCTTTAGCACGTTTGACTTCTACAGAAAGCACGAGGATGCAATGACACCGGCAGGGCTGGCCTTTTTCCAGTGTCAGTGGGACAGCTCTGTTACTGGGGTCTTCCATCAGCTTCTCGGTAAGAAATGCAGCATGCACAGGTGCTGGAGGGGGCTGTTTTCAGGCTGGGATGTGGCCCTGTGAGTAACACAAGGTCCATGAGTGAGCTGTGGCTGTAGGCTCTCACTTGGTCCTGGCACTTATCTGGGATCTGTTACAGCACAGACCAGTTACCAAACCATTTTCCACCAAACTAACAGCATTTTGAGGAAACAACCTCTAAAAGACTGTTTTGAAATGAGCATTTTAAAATGACACCAAGAGAGCCTTCAACCAGGGCATGCTTGACCAGCCCTGGTCTTGTACGCACAATGGGGGCCCTTGCTGGTGAAAGTGAGGGCCTGGGGTTTGGATCTGAGCCATTTTGCTAAGGTTCTGCATTTCCCCATCACAGATATGAGAGAGCCTGTGTTTGAATTCGTGCGGCCGCCTGTTTACCATCCTCCGCAGGTAAAGTTCCCGCGCCACCAGCCTCTGAGATACCTGGACAGATACCGAGACACCGAGGAGCCCACCTACGGCATTTACTAGGGACTTGCCCACCTCTCGAGGTGCTTTGGTGTACACTGGGCTGCTGACAGGGCAGATGGGGCTGCTGGCTTCCCTGCATTCACAGAGCTCTGCAGCCAGGAGCCATCTGTGCCTCTGGAGAGAAACTGCAGAGTCTAAGCCCCTTGGCTCCCAGTTCCTCTGTGCTGGGAAGAGTGCAGCTAGGGGCGACAGGCATTTGCAGTGCTGGCAGCTGTGTGGTCAAAAGGCTACTTAAAGAGGACGTTCATAGATGAAAGCAAATTCATGGCCAGGCTGAAGTCTTCGTACTGATTCTGTAGCAGAGTTGATCCGGTAAGGGTGACAGGGTAGAGTCCCCCAGACATGCCCTGCCTTGCTTCTTTCAAAGGATTGATTGCTTTTTTTCTTTTTCCTGTTTATGGATCAAACAAGGTCAGGCCAGCCTGGATTTCCTCCCCAGGGCTGTGATTTGAGACTCTGTCAGCTTTCATTTGTGCAGTCCTCTTAGAGAGATGGGTCTGATTAAACACACTCTGAGTGATGCTGGCAGTGCTGCCTTGTTTTTATTGGGAAGAGCTGGGTATTCTGGCCAGCTGGCACAGAGCTGGGAAGTGCAGCAGAGTGCAGGGGAGAAGAGCAGCCTTTCCCCTGGCCATCCCCTCATGGATGTAGCACAGGAGGAGTCCAGCTATGCAGGTGGTAAACCTGCACAAGGTCAGTATTTGTGGAGCTGGCTTCTCCCAACAGCTACCCAAGCATGTTGAACTCCATCTCCTTCCTCTCACTCTCTGGGCAGCACATGCACAGTGTGGATAGGTAAAGCAAAAGGAGAGCTGAGGTTGGGGTAGACGTGTGGTGGTGGCCTGGCGCTTTGCTGCTGCCACTCTTGTACCCAAGCCATGGGGAAGCTCTGCTTTCTGTGTCCTCGATCTACATGTTTAAACTTCCAAATACCAACACACTTTTGGTGTTGCAGCTGTCTGTTCCCAGTAACTTTTTCTGGGGTCCTGCCTTCCTCAAGAAATGAGAGTCTCCAGCAAACAACTGAGATTGTGCTGAAATGCCCTCATTGCTGCTGTTGCTCAGGGCTGTTACCAGCTGCACGTGAGCTCCCTGAACTCCTCCTCCTGCCCCAAAGGGTTCTGTGGTCTGGTTTAAGCTGGGGTGAATTAGCTGAGTGGGAGTGCGGGTGTCCTGTGATTGCAGGCAGACACATAGGTTATGTTATGTCTCTCTCAGCCCTTTGAATATTTGCTCAGAACTTGTAGGTTCAGCCCAAGGAAGTGTTTTGGAGGGTGAAGCTATGCTGGGACATGCAGGGAGTTGTGACACATCCCCAGTTACCTCCTGAGTCCAGGGGTAGTCTGGGGGGTGGCTCCAACCTTGCCTTTGACACAAACTCCTCTAACCCCCCCCAGCATCCCACCCGTAGCACAGACCTCCTCCCCACTTGCCCTTGCCTGTGCGGGTAAAACCAGAGCCGCATGTGCGGTGAGGCTGCAGAACTGCTGTGAACCATGGCCATCCTGCCTGTGTTTGGAAGGTTGGGAGCTTTTTCTCATGAAACAAAGGTGTACGAAGGCAAGGTGAAGACATTCAGTGCACAGGTACCACAGTCACCTCCGGGCAGAGGACTCCACCTGAGCAGAGACTGATTGTCCAGATCACATCTTCCTTGCGTTTTGGGCTACTGATGTGCATGGGTGTTGCAAGGAACTTAGTGGGAAAAGGAGGGGTGGGTGTGCACAGGGGTGTGGGCAAACAGCAGGGGCTGCAGTTCAAAATGGAAAGTTGTGAGGGCAGGGTATGGCCCCGGCTGGCTGCTGGCATGTGCCACAGCCCTTGCCACTGCAGATCCCCCCTCTGCTGCTTCCCAGGCTGGCAGATGCTCAAAGCGCTGTACTGAGGTCTCTGCCAAGGAGGACTGCCAAGCTCTGCTCCAGCACCCAGCCCTGGAGTGCCAGGAAGTTCCCTCAAAGGGCAATATAGGAGTGAAATTAAAATATATATCGTGTGTGTACCTGTGCAAGCGTGTTGGTGCACAAACACATTGTTCTGAGCCTTGTAAGCCTCTGAGCTGTCTGCAGCATTTCATCCGCTTGGGGGCCTGCTGCTGTGTTTTGCAGCCCTCTCTGTCCCTGGGTGGAGCAGCTCTAACTCCCCATCATCTCCCCAGCATGGCTGTAGGGACAACCCACTGGGTGTCTCTTTAAGAGCACGCCTGGCTCGGAGCTCTGACCCGCCTCTGTGCTCAGCGTCACCATCTCTTCCTCCTCTGCACAGCCGAGTTTCTATTTCCGAGCTGCTTTCACTGGCTTCTTTCCCCCGTCACAGACAGGATGGCATCGCCTGTCTCGCAGAAGCTGGAGGAGAAGCTGGTGTGCTCCATCTGCCTGGAGCTGTTCAGGATGCCTGTCACCTTACCCTGCGGGCACAACTTCTGCAAGCGCTGCATCAGCGACCACTGGCACAAGCAAGAGCAAGTGCCCGCTGGGGCCGAGAAGGGTTACACGTGCCCTGAGTGCCGCAGGGGCTTTGAGCGGCCCCCTGAGATGGAGAAGAACGTCACCCTGTGCAGCGTGGTGGAGCTGGTGCGGGATAGCGAGGCGCGGGTCTTGGATGCCGAGAGGTGCGAGGTGGCCCATGGCGAGCTGTGCCTGCAGCACGGGCACCCACTGGAGCTCTACTGCGAGGACGAGCAGCGCTGCATCTGCTGCGTCTGCACCATCCAGCAGTGCCAGTGCCACCGACGGGTGCTCTTCGAGGAGAAGCACTCTAAAAAGCAGGTAGAGACCATGGGTACCAGGACTGGGGTGGCAGGGGCAGCCGCGGCAGCTTGGGCATGGCACGACACGCCATCCACCTCCGCTGTCCCCATGGTCAGGGGGCTGCAACCTCCCAGCATCGTGCCATCCCTTCATGTGCTGAGCTGTGCCTGGCCTCACCTGAATAGGGGGCTGGCATGGTCTCTGGCCAGGGAGATGCCACCAGCACCCGGCTGCTCCCTGAGAAACTGGGGGCTGGCAGGAGCAGCAGAGAGCTGGGTAAATCCAGCAGCATCGGATGAAAGGTGCCATATGCATTTGTGACCCCTATTCTAGAGGAAATAGCTAAAAAAGGGTGAAAGACAGCACAGGGTTTCACATCTCGGTGTCCCTGGATGCAGCCTCTGCCCTTCCCAAGGGCCTTATTCTGGAGCCTTTGGAGGGCTCCCAGGACTGGGCAGGCAGCAGCGTGCTGTACGGCTGCGAGTTGGTACCTCCTTTCACAGGCCCTTTTGAAAGAGTCACTGGAAAAAGTCCAGGAGGAATCTGAGAGGATCGAGCAGGTGATGCAGGAGCTGGAGAAGCAAATACACAGCATCAAGGTAACGCCATGGCTGCCTCCGCATGGGGTCCGCAGGTGGGAGCATGCAGATTCTCACAGCTTTTCCCCACACAGGAGTCCTCCGAGGGGCTCAAATTGGGAATTCTGAGCAAACTCGACCTCCTGAAGAAAGCCCTGGAGGATTTCCAGTGGCGGGCAGTGGCCAGAATTGAGCAAGAGCAGGTGACAGCCCTGGTGCACATCAAGGAGAACTGGAGCCTTCTACAGGACCGCCTGGACCTCCTTAGCCAGCACAGGGAGAGGGCTCAACACCTGCTGGCCTGCCCTGACCACAGGACCTTCCTCCAGGTACTGTCCCCATGCTATGTCTGTTCCGACACCCGGCCACTGCTGGCCCCACATCCTTTCAGGCAGGGCAGAGATGTGGCCGACCCCTTCCCCAGCATGGGATGTGTCCTTAGTCCAGCTCAGGGATGGCCTGGGACTGGAGAAGAGCTGCTGTTGGGGAGGTGATGCTGGATCGGGGTGGATGGTGCTACCCCTGGGGCCACGGGCAGCATCTCCAACCCCCAAACCTGCTCAGCAAGGCTCTTCCACAGCCAGCGATACAGAGTCCTGTGCCAGAGACCCTCTGCTCCCTGCAGCCTCACACTCCCTCTGCAACTGTCCCCTGACTCCACACATCAGCTGCAGCTAATGCTGGACATTTTGGGGATGCCTCTGTTACCCACTGGAGAGACACAGCATGTGTGGGTGGGATTCGGAGCTGCCGATCCTCCCCAGGCCAGTGTATGGGTGTTTGTGGGTCCATCTGCAGGAGTTCCCCCCGCTCCCATCCCCGGAGAGCCCGGAAATGCTGCTCCCTGTGGAGTTCAATATGGCTGATGTGGTCAAGCCCATTGCTGAGATCCTCACTGACATCTCCAGGCTCTTGCTGGAGGACCTGCCCGGCTCTGTGGCCCTCAAAGCCCCTGACCCCCTTGGCCAAGGTAAGTCCTCTACTCGCAGGGCCATCCTGGAGGGCTCCAAGTCACCCTGAACCACAGCCTGGGCAGTGTCACTGTGCTGGGAACACGGCTGCTGGACACGAATGGTTGGGATATGGGGAGTGGGATGAGCTGGGTGGCTTCCTGTGGCCCCTTTCTTGCTGTGGCCCCCTTCTTGCTGTGGCCACCTTCTTGGTGTGGCCCCCCAGTCTTCCTATCAAAGCTGGGAAGGGACAAGTTTTTGGGCCCATCTCTCAAATTACCCATCCCCATCCTCCACAGGCCTGGTGCAGCCCGAGGGACTGGTGGTGAAGGTGGTGGCCCCTCTCCCTGAGTGCCAGCTCCGAGCTGATCTTCTGAAGGGTGAGGAGCACGTGGGGAACCAAGGGAATGACACCCCAGTGGGGTCCCCAGCAGACAGTGATTTCACCAAACTGGGCTCTTCCCTGGCTATTTTTGGCAGCAGGCATGAGCCTAATGTGGCCGGCCGGACTAGGTTGTTGCAGGAGGAAGGCAAGTGCTCATGGCAGGAAGAGTTATCACAGCCCATGCAGAGGAGAGTAACTCCCCTAATACCATATTTGCTCACTTAACACCCGGTTTTCTCCCCCTCTCGCCATCTGTGCTCTTTTTTTTTTTTTTCTTTTAAAATGAAGCACCTCTCTCCCAAAATGACCATGGTGCCACCACTGCTTGTGGGCTGGGAGCTGGGCTGTGCAAGGACTGCACAAAGCATCACATCTTGGTGCCTTACTGGCTATTTCTGGGCTGTTTCCATTCCTTCGGGCAGGCGGGCAGGTGGGCAGGTATCGCATCTTACTCCACTCCTCTTCCCCTCCAAACATGCTACAACTTGTTCACTTCTATTCTGGGAGCCAGCCCTACAGTTTAAACCACACCACCACGAGGGGGGGGCTCACATCAAGTATGTAAAGGTGTGACGAAGCATTTCAGCCTCATCCATGCTGTTGCTCTTCCCAGACCACCGCAACCTCACCTTCAATCCCGATACGGCCAACAAATACCTGAAGCTGTCAAAAGGTAACCGGAGAGCCAAGCACGGCCCCAGCGCCGTCTGTGGGCAGCAGGAGCAGGGACACCGCTTTGAGCCCTGGCAAGTGCTGTGCACACAGGGCTATGACCGTGGACACCACTACTGGGAGGTGAAGATCTCCAGCCACTCCATCATCCTGGGGGTCACCTACCGCAGCCTCCCCCGGGAGCGGCAGCAGGGCCACAAGTTCAACATTGGGCTGGATGGGGGCTCGTGGGGGCTGCAGGTGCGGGAGGATTGCTACCTGGCCTGGCACAAGGGCCGAGCGCAGAAAATCCAGGAGCAGCTGTATAAGGACCTGGGGGTCAGCCTGGATTACGGCAAGGGGCTCCTTTCCTTCTACGGCCTTGGGGAGAGGACGCAGCTCATCCACTCCTTCCACGATGTCTTCACCGAGCCCCTCTACCCCGTGTTTTGGCTGTGCGAGGGGCGAGCAGTGACGCTGTGCCAGAGAGACTGAGCCAGAGCCACCTTGCTGCTCTGTGAGCCAGGCCAGCAAGCCCCAGGCTGGTGCTGTAGCTGAGCTGCCACTGGGACTGTCATGGTGTGGGTGGGACCCTTGATACTGAGACGGGAGTGGAATGCAGTGTTTTAACAAGAGCTGGTAAGAGCAGACATGCAAATTAACCTCGTCTGATTTGCATATGTTATATCATGCTGGTGGGGGTGAAGCCCCCCAGGTGCTGTGTGTGGAGGCACACACGAGTCCCTGCGCCTGCAGATGGGGTGAGGACAAGGATGGCGCAAGAATTAGGGTTTCCTCTTTCTTCCATCCCTGTCAAACCTCCCAAGCCTCAAGGACATTTGGGGTGAGAGGGGCTGCAGATTGAGGTGCTGCAGTCACAGGGTGCTGCGAAACAAGGCAGAGGGAGCCCTATGCTCCCTCAGCCTCACATGCAGGCAGGTCACAGAATCACAGAATCTTAGGAGTTGGAAGGGACCTCAAAAGATCATCCAGTCCAACCCCCCTGCCAGAGCAGGATCATCTAGACCAGGTCACACAGGAACGCGTCCAGGCGGGTTTTGAATGTCTGCAGAGAAGGAGACCCCACAACCTCTCTGGGCAGATTCAGATTGAACCTCCTATGCTCCCCCAGCCCCTCCTGGTCCCCTCTTGCAACTCTTGGACATGGCAGAGCAACTTTTTAGGGTGCCATGCTGCAGTTGCTTTTTGTACAAAGCTGCTTTCCCTTATAAAGCTCTATTTTCTTACTGGTTTGGCCTTAATGCTGTGAGAGCCATTGGACCAAGAAGCACTGGAGAGATGAGCTGGGTGCCCCTGCTCCTGCACCAGTCTGCCCCTCCACCTCTCCCTAGGGCTGGCAGAAGGGACTAGTCCCCTGTAGTGACCTGGTGGTGGCAGAAATGGAAGGTGCTTTATTTACCGTAGCACTGTGATAAGGAAATCTGGTTTCCTACGGCTCTGCCCCAAGGTTGATCTGGCACTGAAGAAAACCTGAAGCTTTGATTGAAGTTTTTCCAAGGGTGAAATCACAGGTCTGGCTTCTGCCACCGCCCCCGCAGGGATGCTGGTGAGGACTAACAGGACCATACTGGGCACTGGGTTCAAAGGTGGTGGCGACGTGCAGGCAAATGCATGGGGAATTAATCACCTCAACTTGTTTCCTTTGGGGAAACAAAGGCTTAAAAGTATCAATCCCCTTCTTCAGGGACAGATGCATTTCTGTCTTGCCATGTTTCCTCCTTCACTCTGCACCTCCCCACTCCTCTCAGACCTGTCCTTGGGTGGGGGACCTTGGCTGTGCATGGACCTGGGAATGTATCCAAGCTGAAAAACTGGCTGTGTACCCTGTGCAGCAGGTGTCCAGAGATACCATGTTTACCAGGAAGAAGCACTTTGGTGTCTTCCCAGCCCCATCCCTGCAGGATGTGGGTGCTGTGACCCTTTTTGGCCCTAGACGTGGCTGATGTAGGGCCATGGGTGTAAAGGAGGGCAAGAATCCACCTGCACCTGTGTGCTGCGGGGAGCTCAGGACCCCATCCACATGGCTCCATGGGGGGGCAGTGGGGTGGCAACAGGTTCTGGGGCAGCAGATTCCGGGGGGCAGGGGCTGCTTACAGTGGGGAGGGCCCAGATCCTCGTGCGGCCGATCCTTTAAAAGGTAACAGAGCCTCGTGGTGGCG